CCAAACTATGCCTTTTTGGCAGAAGGATCATTTTGAGTTGATCATTGTGAGAAATGCAGACAAAGGGAAAGCTTGCAAGCAGGAGGAGCTGCCTTTTATGAGGGACACTTCTCTGTAGAGCAAACCTCCTTCCCTCGCTCCCTCTCCCTCTCCTTCACTCTCCCCCATCCCTCTCCCTCCTCTGCCTTCAATAGAGAGAGAGCGGTTCACTGCACAGCTCTGGATGGACTTGTACTCATTCCTAGCCCAGCCTGGTCTCAAACTCACAGCGATCCTCCTGCCTCAGGCTCCCAAGAGCTGAAATTACAGGCGTGAGTCACCACACCCACTCTGACTCTCTTCTAATACTCTGTCAGGGTAGGTGTTTTTATTACCTGGTCTTGTCACCCAAAGCCCAAGAGTTCCCCCAATTTAGCGCCCCCTGCAGGTTCTTAACTGTCACAGAAAAGGATTTTCAGGGTGTGTCCGTGAGCGGCATAGAAAGGCTTCATTAGGCAGAGTTAAAGACACACTCGAGGACAGAGTGTGGGCCCCAGGGAGAGCACACTGTGGTCTGCAGCAGGGAATATTTGGGGGAGGGATGTGGAATTTGTGAATCTCTACAAAGAACTCAATTTACGTGACCGGTTGTGCCTACTTAAGGGGAAAGGCAACTGGCCGGATCTATTGTTTCTGGATGGAGGAGGGGATTGTTAGTTTTTTGCTTGTGGCACTAGGGATTTAACCCAGGGCCTTCACCCTGAGCTACATACCCCACCTTTGTAGTTGTCTGGGGTTCTTTGAGACAGAATCTCAGTAAGTCACTAAATTGCCCAGGCTGGGCCTGAACTTCCGATTCTCCTTGCGTCAGCTTCCCAGAGTGCTGGGAAGGTGTGTACCACCACAGATGTGCACCATCATGCCTTCCTTTTTTTTTTTAATGGGTGATCTAAAATGTTTTGCCTAAAACATTCTTTGAATGCTTTTGTTATTGGGTTTTGGGATGCTGGTATCTTCTTCTAGAGGTGGTTCTTAGGTTCTTCCTGTCCTGAATAAAGAATTAGTCAAGACAAGCACCACTGCCCTTCTCTGAGCCTCAATTTCCTCATCTGTAAAATGGGGGTGACCTTACCAGTTCACTGGATGGTGAAGAGCAAAGGAGGAAAAGTTCATTAAAAGGATTCATATGTAAACAAGGCTAAAATTAAAACTGGGGGGTACTTCTCCTCAATTCCCTACCACACTTCAAGGTGAGGAAACTTCCTTGTGTTATTATAGACATCTAAGTTAGTTAGAAATATTATAGGCAGTCAGACAGGGCTAGGCCCTCCAAAGGAATCAGTGCAGAAGATACATTAGGATTGTGGGTGGAGGCGCATTCCTTGAAGGCGGGACCTCAAGACAAAAGATAGAACATTCACCCACGTACTTGCCCTAGGGATGAGTAGCAGTGATTGATATTCTAAATAGGTGTCCATCTTGACCTTGGGTGAGGACCAAAACTTCCCTTCCAGGAAAAGTCTCTGTTCTGGTCCATATACACTTGCTATGTGACTTGCTTTCCCATTTGATCCCCATTTAATCAATACTACCTAAGCGATTATACTTGTAATCTTATTGGTTGACTGTACTTTTGCTCCACCTCATGCCCACCTTGTGGTTTCCCATTGGATCAATGTTACCTAAGCAACTATACTTATAATCTTGTTAGCTGACTACAGTTCTGTCCCACCTTAGACCCGCCTCACCTCTGTCTCTCTTAGTTAAAAGCTTTCTTTACCCCAGTAAATATTTTCTGCTCATAATCTCCTTTGTTTCTGGAACTCATTCACTGATTTTAGAGAACACGAACTCGGTATATTGGCCATCTAGCGGGCTTGCAGGTTGGGAGTGATAATATTTCCCTTACATTGTTTGGCTTACTTGGAGGTCCCATATCATCCCTATGTCAGTGTCAATGCTACAGGGTTTAGGGGTGCCGGAGTCTCCTTTTAGAGGTGGTTCCTAGGCTGTTTCTGTCCCGAACAAAAAATTGGTCAAGACGAGTAGAAAAGGTAACAAAGTTTTACATAATTAAAGGTAGGAAAGGAAACATGCTCTGCAGAGTGAGTTCAGCCCACCTAGAAACAGGAAAAGCAGCGCACTCTGCAGGTGACGAGCTGCACACTGTGAAAGAGCACCGCGGCCGAGAGCTCCATGGCGGCCATTTTTTGTGTCTCCACTCCTCAGGCTGATGTCAGGTCTAGGCCATCCTGTCAAAAACCTGCTCCAGTTCTGCAAAAAAAAAACGGGAGACAGCACTCTCGGTGCTGTTCCGTCGGAGCATGGAATCCTCTGGTTCCATCGGAGGGTTGGGAACTGTTCTGCGCATGTGTTCTGGAACTCTGAGAGCAACAGGTCTCGCCTATTTCCCCCGCCTCCCCCCCCCACCGCCAGTCACCCCCTAATCTCTTGCCTCACCCAGACAGGGTCTGAGGTGGCTCCCAACGTGAAATAAAGAGCCTAACCCTCCCTACTCAGGATAAATTTGCTGACTGCTGTCACAGCAAAAAGAGCTATTAGGATTTAAATTTTTTTGCTGGGCGTAGCGGCACACGCCTGTAATCCCAGCACTCAGGAGGCTGAGGCAGGAGGATCGTTGGGAGTTCAAGGCCAGCCTCAGCTACAAAATGAGCTCAAGGCCAGCCTGAACTGCATAGCAAGACCTTGTCTCAAAAAGACAAACAAACAAAAAAGAGGATTAAATTTTTTTTTAAACAGTAGAAGGAAAGAAAAGGAACTTTCAATTAAAAGATACACACTCAAATAAGTGCAGGCCTAAGAGAGATGCATCATATCCTGGAGTGGGAACATTGTGCTTCTCTTGAGAGGGTGGAAACCCCAGGAGAAGGTGCCCACCCTCAAGCAGGGTACCAACCCATATTACAGCCATCAGCCCAGTTTTGTTTTGTTTTCTGAGATGGACAACTAAACCATTTTTTGAAATCTCTCGACTTGTTTCTTCATGTTAGGATCAAGTTCCTGCTCTTTATTTTCTCAATTAAGCCCGTGTGTGGACTCCAGTATTCATGAGGAACTTTAGGTGTCTGGAAGGAAAGGACCCTACATTTCACCTTGAACACTACATGGATTGCCTTGGGTGACTTCCGGTGGGTCCAGGAAGTTGCAGTCCTCTGAAAAGCGCAATTGTTTTAGTTATGATTCTTTGTCTTCTTACTTTGTATTTCTTATACCCCTCCTCACTTGGAACTTGCAGGGAGGGCCTGGCGTCTGTCACCTCACTTAACCAGTGGACGCTGGGTGTCACAGAGCGTTCCTCATCGTACTGCCATCTTGCTACTCACAGCTTGCTGGAGCCAAGATCCACCCCAGAAGCTTCCAGCCTCTTCCTCTCCTGGGCCCGGAGACTTTCTGACAATTTAGGGTGCTGCTTCCCAGAATTAGCTGCTAGGGAAGCACGCTGATGGGTCAGTTTCCAAGCCCAGCCTGATCCATGGAACGACTGATAGCATTCGTTCATCATTTATGGAACATTTTTCTGTGTCCAGAGCTGGTGAAGCAAGGCAGAGAAACGGAGGGGGAACCTCAATTCTAGGAAGGGCCCAGGAAGCGGGGAGCAGGCCCAGAGGCCCAGAGATTTCTAAGCTCAGCTGGTGTTTGGAGGATGATGGTAATAAAAAGAATAGCCCAGGTCGGGGCGTGGGGAGGCTCTGAGAAGCGGTCAGCACCAGCAAGGGCACAGCTTGAGGGCACTGTGGCACTTCTGTGAGGATGGGTTACCATAGGCCACAACCTCAGGCCCTGCCAAGTCACCTAGAACCCGGTACTGGACTCATCAGTAAACAGGGCCAGGAGTGCAGTTGGGATGGTCCTGACTTCTTTCCCATGCACACACTTGTGAAAATAAGAGGGAAATCATGATAAACGAGGGCTGAGGCTGTAGCTCCGTGGTAGACCATTTGCCTAGTGTACATCCTCAGAACTGGTTTTAAAAAACAGCCCTGATGAAAGCAACCCTGAAAGCTTCACAATGGAGCCAGAAGGCCCTTAGAAAGCAGGGTTATGCGTGATTCTGTGTTCAGGCTGCTGTCCAAATATAAACTTTGTCCACCCTGACTGGACAAAGGCGTGTGGGGCAACCAACCAGATAAACACTCTGTCCCCGGAGGCCCAGGGTGCATACCAAGGGTTAGGCAGTCTTGCTCGATGGCTGTTTTCCAAATGTAGCCTTCCTTCATCCAGTGCAGAGCCCTGGTTCCTGACTCCCATGCAGGTTCCCAACAGCAGACTCCCTACTGCTGTGTGATAAAAGGACACCCTTGCTGTAGAAGCTCCACCCTCCCTGCCTTCTTTGGTCCACTATCCAGAGTTGTCTGAATCTGTGGAGGTTTTTGTTTGTTTGCTTTTGGCTTTTGTTTTTTGAGACAGGGTCTTGCTATGTACCTCAGGCTGGCCTTGAACTCATTGTGTAGCCTAGGCTGGCAAGCCTCTTGCCTCAGCCTCCTGAGTGCTGGGATTATTCAAGGTGTGCATCACTATGCCCTGTCCCTTGAGGCTGTGTTTCCAACTTGCAATTCCTAAGATCCCAATAAAGCCCCCTTTCCTTCGGCAGGTCCTGGATCTGGACTGACAACTCTCACACACACACACACACACACACACACAGAGAGCTGTGGTTGCAGACTGCGGCCAACATCAGGTATGAAGCTGGATTTACCCACTGTCACCAGCTGCGCCTCGAGTTCCGGGCCTCCCAGAAACCTCCGCCTGGCTCAGGAGACCGCGCCTACCCTGGGGGCCGGAGGTCCTGCTCCGGAGCAAGGAGCTGGGGGATGAGGCAGCTGCAGAGAGGGCGCCTGTGCCGGGTTCAGGGGCCTCAGCCTCGCCATCCTGGCTTGCGAGCGGGGACCGCCGGCCCAGCCCGCGCCAGCAGGGGGCGCCCGGGAGCCCCGGAGGGGTGGAAGCAGAAGCCGCTCGCGAACCGGGAAGAGCCGCGGGGCGTGGCGGGAGGAGGAGCCCGGCCTGCGGCCTGCCGAAGCCCGGTTGCAGTGGCCTCGCGGCCCAGAGGCTGTGGCGGCGGCGCGGCGGCGACAGTAAGTGCGGGCCGGGCACCACGGGGCTCCCCGGCTCCCGGTCCTGGTCGCGATCCCGGCCTCCCGTGCGGCGCCCCCGCTGTGGGTCTGCAGCTCTCGTCCTTCCTCACGCCCTTGCTCCCCTGAGATTGGACCTCAGCGTCTGGACCAGGGCTTGAGTGTGGACCGAGCAGCTCCTAGGATCCCCGAGGCGGTTGGCTCCGCGGGTCGCAACTGGGAGGCCGTTCAGCTGTGGCCTCTGCAGTCCCCTGGCTTAGCTGCCCCGCTGGGGACAGGGAGGCACAAGGAGGCACAGGGAGGCTCTGACTTGGTCAGAGTCGGGGACCTCGCTGGAGCTGCACCCAGGCTTCCCAGCCCAGGGGGGAGTCTGCAGCCCCAGGTCCCCGGGGAGGGAGCAAGGCCAGGCAGGGGCCGCCCAGAGGAGGCTTGCGTGCTTCCTTACCTTTCTTTGTCTTTCTTTTTCTAATCCAAAAGCCAGCAGCTAGCTTTTATGAAGAGTAATAAGACTTTGCTCACTCCAGTGCCCCAGCCTGTGACCCGGGTTAGAGAAAATTCCTGGCTCCTTCAGAAGCTTGGTCAAGGCTGAATGGCCCTGGACAAATAGACGCAGGAGCTGGGAAGGTGCCCTGGCAGCGGGGTGGAGTTCCCCGGCTCCTGGCCCTCGCACCCCGCTCCAGCTGCAGCGTTTGCACCTCTTGCAGTTTTGTTCTTCTCCACGGGTCCTAATTATCTTTTACCTTTTCTGACACTAATTCTGAGCGTGTCCGTGTGTGTGTGCGTGTGTGTGTGCGCACACACCCTGTCTGGTCAGGGTTCATGCTGCTCGATTGAGGCTCAGGAGGGGCTCTGCTTGGCCGAGGGAGTTGAAAATAGACTGGCTGACTGGTGCTCCGGGCCAGGTACCCTGCAGCCTTGTCCCAGTGCTCCACAGGGAGCACCACATAGGAGGCCGCGGTCACGCCCAGGACAGGGAGCCGGGCAGCCCCGAGTTGCCGGGCCCGCATTGGCAGTGCCCGGGTAGGGCCCGGTGTCGTGGGGTGCACAGCCCAGACATTCAGTAAAAGGTGGTGAGTGTGCCTGCAGTGCCACCTTCGCCTCCGGTCACAGCTCCCCGGTCCCAAGGCCTTCAGGAGCTAGGACCTGGAAGACAGGGTCACGTTCCCAGCCGGTCCTTCCAGGGAGGCTGAGGAATCTCTGGTGGGCCCCAGAATACCCAGCTGTGGGACTTCACTGTTGCCACTGGTAGCTGAGTGACCTTGGGT